AGTGTCGTTACCTTTTTACTTTTACCTTGTATACTTTTATTTACTAATAGTTAATAAGTAATTATTATATATATATATATATATATATATATATATATATTTTATTTATTTATTTGTGTATATATATACACAATAATGTGTGAAAACAAGTAAAGCATATTAGAAAAATTTTGAACAAGAAGTGAATACTCTATTCTAAAATAAAAACAGATATAAAATTGTATTTTTCCACAGTGACTTCTATATTAATATCTCATGCCACACAGATGTGCACTAAAAGTTACAGCAGAAAGAATGTTTTAAGAATGATTCAATAACATTAAAATTCAGAAATGTTTTTAAGGTGTTTTCAAAGAAAAATATCAAAATTGTGTAATAACTTCTAAAATAATTTATGCTTTTTACATCTTTGAATGTCTCACTAGGCCCATAAAAACTATATATCTACATTTGGCAAAAATTTTGTGGAATATGTGACAGGGGAAAAAACCTTTGCAGAATTTGAATGATTTCAAAATATCTGCAAACACAAGAAGCAACATAAAATTGGTTTTCATTTTAAAATTTGGGAGTTTCAATATAAAGCTCATTCCTATTTTTCTGTTTCTTCCAGATAAGAAATCCAAAAACTTTGCTTCTGATGTTTAAATAAACTGAAACACTGATTGAAACTGCGTGATTCAGCCTGTGGCTGAAGCACTACTAACAAATTCACTTTTTATATTGATGGTAAAGACACTTTACCTCAGATTTTACTCAATTTTTTATTTTGTTTTATTTAAATGTATATATAAGTATTCTCAAATTAGCACTAATAGATTTATTTCCATGTTCACATTACATCACATGTATAACTATGCTAATATTTCTGAGGACTTTGTACTTATTTACAACATTAACTACATTTAAGGAAGAGATATGTTCTGAAGCATTATACCAAAAAATTCTTAAAGTTATGTCCCTAAGTTCCAGAAATACATTAAAGGCTTTGTGTCATATCACTTATCTCTAACCACTTGCAAATCATGGCTAATATCAACTCTTTTACTGAGTTTAACTATCTTGTCTAATTATGTAAGATTAAACTTGTTTAACTTGCATCAGTGGGTTTATGATTCTTGATATTCATGCAAAGCTATATAAAGGCTACTTGCACTGGCTATTCTTAATTTTGAATTTATAGACTAAAGGGGAAAACATATTTTAAACAACACTTGGGCTATTGTAATCGAGCAGTGGTATTTGACCATTATTCTTACAATGCACCTGTGGCTCAGCATGTCCCCCCCCCCAACAGGACACAAACCATAGACCCTCGGATAGCACATAATGTTAAGATTAAATAGGTTCATAAAAGTAGTCCTAGAATACCTAGAAAGTTCACAATGATGCCAAGAATCTAGTAAATTTAAATAATATACAGACATGGGTACATTAGTTATGAATACTTTTAAGCAGTTAATTGAGTGAATGAAAATTCAGTGAAGTATTCAGTGTGTGAGTGATGTTGGATGAGAGAAGATTGATTGAATAAATTAAGCTAATCAATAAGTTAATCAGTATTTGTTATCAGTAAAAGAAATATTATTAATGTATTAGGCCTACATTAGTTTCAGAGTTTATGTTGAAATGTTTGTTTATGATCTTAGGCCTGCAACTTATGTCAAAACATATGTGGCCTGTAGCAAAACTGTAGAAATAAATTAATTCCTTAACAATATATGGACTGGACTTGGCATTATTTTTACCAGATAATTTAAAGGAACCCACTCAAAAATAGAAAATGTTACAACTATATCATTTTATCTCACCAAAGATTACCAAATCTATTAAGAATAGTAAAATAATACTATTGTACAACAATTAAGATCAAAAACATCTTTAATGTACTTAAAGCACAATTATTATCATATTAAAAAGAAAATTTCAAGATCTGAGTTAAGAATTAAAATTTATACCTAAAGCTGAAAGGACAGATTTAAAGTTATTTTTATATATTATGGTACATTTTTAAACAATCTGTGGAAACATAGATACATTTTGTTTCTTTTGCTACTGTGTATGACAAAACTAAAATAAGTAAATATATAAAAAAACATAAACCTTAATTTGCTTAATTATTCCAACATAAGAAGAATTTTGATCCTAAAAACGGTTAAATAGGACAGTTGTAGTAAAACTAGTCAATTTGTGACCATTATCTTCTATATGAATTATGAATATTGTTTAAAAATCAGATCCCAAAAATCTCCAATGAAAAAAAGAGTATGTATTCAAGATCTTAATAACTAGTTCATTATATATATATATATATATATACAATTATATTTTAAGTGTTTGTGCCTTACCAACTTGTATTGATTGCTGATTAAAAGCTGATCATAATGATAAGAGCTAAATTTTTTACTTTAAGACATCATATAAATTATTTTAGATATACCCAAGTTATTGCATTTCATACTTCTATGGGAAACTTAACTGTTACACAAGTTTGGGAGACCAGATACACTAGAGACAACAAGGGGCCTATTTGTTCATTCAGGTTGTCCCATTCACTTAAAAGAAACTCAAGTTTAACCCAGATCATTTACGTATCTATTGAACCTATACTTAAAACTTTTAAATTTACTGTATTCACCATATCTGAAGGCAACACATTCCAAAAGCCAACTACCCTGTTAGAAAAGTAAGACTGTAAGAAGATTACGACTTGTACCTCTCCAAAAGTTATACTTGTTCTGTTATTCTCACCATTAAATACATGATGTATCAATACAATAAAGTCTCTCAATAATCTTGAACACCTTGATGAGATTCCCTTTAACTCTTCTTTTTTTAAAGTGAAATCAGTTTCAGAGATCTTAACCTGTCCTTGAGAACTTTTCCATCCCGATTGTAATTTTAGTAGCCCTCCTTTGACTATTTCCAACAACTCAATGTCCTTAAGGTAAAGAGCACAATACTCTAAGTGAGGCCTAACCAGTGACCTGTACAATGAAATGATAACCTTCTAATACTTATAGTCAATATATCTGTAAATACAATCCAAAATCCTATTTGTCCTACCACTAACAACAGCACACTGCTTGGATGGCTTAAGAGATTGATCACTCAAAACATCAAGATTCTTATCTTCTATACCACTATTAAGGTTATTATCATCAAAATTATACTTATAATTACTATGCATTTATTATAATTAAAAGCCATCTGCCAATTAGTTGTCCAACAAACCAAATATTCTAAATCCTCTTGTAAACCAGCAGCATTCTTCTTATGGCTAGCAACAGCCAAGACCTTAATATCATCAAAAAATTTAAGCAATTTTAATTATTGAACATTTTTTACCTTGGTCATTAGGAATGACTGATATGTTTTGTGTTTATTTTTCATCATGAAACAAGATACTTTATAAATTTAAAAATTGCATAATAATGTACAAAATGTGATTATTTCTTTTTTTGGCCCAATATAAAATGAATTTTGTGTAGTTTTAAACATGATTACTGATATATGGAATTCCAAATACTTACTGATGCATTAATTATCTACATTTTAAATACATAATGTGAAACAATACAAACTACTCATTAGCAGAATTAAAACATGCAACATATATTACTGAGCATATTGAGACAGCATACTTTGAGGAAGGGATTCTGTAGGCTCTTCTCCAGAATTAATCACAACCAAAACAATGTTATTACCGCTGTTGCGTCAGCGAGTCACGTGACTACTATGACGCAACGTTTCTAGAACTATCA